GCTTTTGACCCCACGTTACGAGAATACTCCGTAACTTAGAGCATATAGGACTGGAGGCAGTCCCCTATGTCAAGGTACAAGCATAAAAAATCCATTGAACAAGAAACTCTACTTTCGAATCGATGTTTTTTTATTTCCATGATCGAATTCACCGCGTCAAGTGCTCCATGAAATATGCCGTCTTACGCTGTGCCATAGAAAGTTACAAAAAGAAATTCGCTACATCCAGTCTAGCCAAGGTGGCTAGACTGGGTGGCAAGACGATCAAGCCAACATTTCATATACGTGTACGTAATACATATCGACATCATCACGTCGATAACTTTCCGTCTCTAGCATATACATGAGAATCGATTTTTTTACACGCCTATTTCTGGTTACTGTATAGTTTTGTTCGAGAAATATCGCTAATAACGCCTCCCGTCCTATATGCTCTAAGCGCCGTAATTTGTAAACCGATTCTGATGATACTTTTTTGTTGGAAAGGGGCTACCTCAGTATAGGTCTCATTTAAATTTGAAGAAAATGTTCCACCTCTAAGGACGGCAAACTGGGGGATGAATCCGGTTTCGCACACTTTCCGGTAACCGATTTCAAAACCGATTGGTAAATAGATGTAATTCCACAAACTTTAGAAGTTGATTTATTTCTTTTATACAAAAGGTATATTATTTTAAATACATTTTTGAAGATTTAGAAAATAAAATATTATGAATTGCTTTAAAAAAACGAAAAATGGTGGGTTTTGTGTTGTAGTTTTTACATAATACGTTTTGATGCGGTTTTTTTTATAAAAAAGTTGTAATTATATTATTTACAAAATAATAAATAAAAAGGTATTTATTTCTCCACAAAACATAAGACACCTTTTTTAAAAAAAAAGAATATTAAAAAAAGGAATAGAAAAAAAAACAATTGAGTGATGTTAGCTAGCTATTATAGCTATTATATTATAATTAGCTATATTTGTCGTAGCGCCACCTGTGAGAAATTGAAGAAAGTGTCTTCACTCAGCCAGGTATCTTTACAGCTACCAGAAGACTGAGAGAGATGTCGCTATATTCATTGCAATATAACTGCTTCCGTGGCTGAATGGTTAACATGCTGGTCTGCCACCAAGGGTCTCAGGTTGGAATCCCGGGTCGGGAGAAATATTTGTAAGACCTTCATTTATTTATCTCACGTGTTTGGGTGTAATTTGTGGTTGTCTATGCGACTGTCCATGACACCCGTGATACATGGTTTTCCTAGTGTGGAGTGTGTGCGTTATTACTATTAATAATATTTCTTTTTTATTGCATAATATGATGAAGTTTTTACTGCGGTAGTATTAATATACTTTTGGTGTAAATATTCCACTAGTTTGTTATTATTATTAAAGATCGACAAACATAAAGAAAACATTCCTTAAAAAAATCAGTGCTTCTACTCCAGGCGAATGGAAGGAATTTTTCTTTGCGTTTATTCGGTGTTTGTTTTCACAAAAAGTAATGTGAATATCATGAATATCATTATAGTAACAATAAAAATTCGTAAAGTCCGCTAGTTCGTACCGTGCCTTAATTGGCATAGCGTCTGGCACGGTTTACTGGAAGACATTTGGTTCAAATCCACCCGGATCAACAGAATTCTGTCTTAGTGTTCGATCTTTATATTAATAATTTAATTACGTATGTTTTTTTTAATTTAATAATTATTAGAAACATAATTGCACATATCATTATTCAAAATAGTAACGTATAAGAATAATAGTTGTTAAATGTTGAATTCAAGTACCTACAATTCTTTTCCCTAATAAAATATTGTTAATTTGGTTTCATATATTTAGTAGAATATACTTTAACATGTGTGAATGATAATGTTAATTAATTACCATTTGCTTTCAGAAGTTGTTGAATTATTTATAATAACCCACTATCATCAAGTTGCTATTATAACGTACTTACAAACATTGCACTCCCTGGCAATCGTGAGAAGTTCAAGGTTCGCAATAAATTAAACTATTAAATCACGTGCCAATATGCAATTATATGTATGGCACTGCAGTTTCTGAACATACTGCATTGTAAATTCACCAATAGACCACAGTTTTTAATTCTTCCTTTTTTACCTTCGCGCGGTAAGCAGTTTAGCCATTGACGGGTCTTAGATTCTTAAAGTTTTAAAGTTCTGACTGTTGAAATTAGTTAAAAGTAACTATCCTGCACAAAATAGTGTCTTCAAATTATCCAGCTGAGTAGTGAATCAGCTAAGGATCAGGGAATATGAAATACAGGTTTGTAATTAAACTAACGTAATGAAGAAAAAAATCTTTCAAAAGTAGGCACTAAGCGACTACCCGTGAGCGACTGCAGTCGTAGTAGCTAGTTTTACTTAGTCACGGCCGCGAAAATGGATGTGGTTTAATGACTTATTTGAATAAATAAGAGTCGCGTACGCCCAGCCGACCGCGACTAACCGCGTAGTGGAAAATGCGTGTAATTGGGGCCACGTAGCGGACTAACAGCGATGCTATACGGGCGTTGTGTCGTCGCTACGCTATGATTTCTTCGTAGTAAGAGCGATGCCACACGGGAATTGAGTAGTTGCTACGCTATGATTTCTTCGTAGTAAGAGCGATG